GTCTTCTTCAGCTTGGCACACAGTAGGACATCTGTAAAGAGGAAGACATGCCGCAGCTTCCGGGAGCTCTCCGACACTTCCACCAGGAAGCCGTCCTTCACCAGCTGTCGTGTCTGAGGGAGATGGCAGACCCCAGCCTGCTCAGCGGGGAGTGCGGCCGAGGGCCGAGCCTGCATGCGGGGGCACGGCCAGCCAGGGAGGGCTGAACCGAGGGGCGGCATAGCCTGTAACCCCTTAACCAAGGTGGGTCAAGCACTGCCTTCGGAGTCACACGGATGTGGGTCTGGATCCCGACAGGCTTCTCAGCTGTGATCTCAGGCGGCTCCCTGACCTCTCTGAATCCCAGTTCACCTGCTGTAAAGTGCGGATGATGATGTCTGCCTCCTAAGGTGACTCATCGAGATGGTGCGTGTACAACAGCACAGTGCCTGGCACATCAAGTGTGCGCAACGCATGGGGCTCTCCGCAGCTACCCCTGGTGCCCCCTGCCCAGGACAACCTGGTTTCTCCACCCTGGGGCACGTACATCCTCGCTTGCAATCCCTCCCGACCGCGGCAGAGAACTTCATCTAGTTCCGGCTCAACCGAGAGCTGAGACCCGCTCAGGCCTGTCCGCGCTACTCCTCCCTGGCTTCTCTAGCCCCCCCGGGGACGAGACCTGGGTGGTCCAGCCTGGGGCTGCAGCTGTGTCCAGAAGGGACCTGCAGCCAACTCTAACTTGGGCTCTGGGTGGTTTCTGCTCCACGTGGGATTTCAAGAGTTTCCAACCCCTGCTCAGAGCCAGGAGGCCGTCCCCATCTGTCCCAGCCTTTCCTGTATGATACGCGGTGTGACCTACGTCTGCTGTAACATGTAGGTGAGAGTATTCAAAGTATACAATTAAGATGACCGAGGCCAGACGCGGTGGCTCATGCCTGTCATCCCAGCACTTTGGGAGGCCAAGGCGGGCAGATCACCTGAGGTCAGGAGTTCGAGACCAGCCTGGTCAACATGGTAAAACCCCCTCTCTAGTAAAAATACAAAAATTAGCTGGGCGTGGTGACACCTGCCTGTAATCCCAGCTAGGAGTTTGGGAGGCTGAGGCAGGAGATTTGCTTGAACCCAGAGGGTGGAGGTTGCAGTGAGCTGAGATTGCGCCATTGCACCCCAGCCTGGGCAACACAGTGAGACTCAGTCTCAAAAAAAAAAGATGACCACTGGCCGGGCGTGGTGGCTCATGCCTGTAATCCCAGCACTTTGGGAGGCCGAGGCGGGTGGATCATGAGGTCAGGAGATCGACACCATCCTGGCTAACACGGTGAAACCCCATCTCTACTAAAAATACAAAAAATTAGCCGGGCGTGGTGGCGGCGCCTGTAGTCCCAGCTACTCAGGAGGCTGAGGCAGGAGAATGGCGTGAACCCGGGAGGTGGAGCTTGCAGTGAGCCGAGATCGCGCCACTGCACTC